ATTTCAGTCATTTAAAAGCTTGTAAAGGTTAGGAGAGCTTATGGAGTCTCATGTCCCTAAACTGTTTTCTCCACTATTTCTTATGGGAGATGGGAAGATTAAGGTGCCCTCCAAGGCAAACAGTTACCTTTGTTTCTCAAGCTTTATGCTCTGGAAAAATGGACAGAGCAGAACCCAAACAGCCAAATTCCTCACTAAGATAGCAGAAGTGAGGATGATATGTCTTCTCGTATCATCACAATTCATTTCTTTAGCCTCAGAAGAAGAGACTACAGAGGCAAGATAGATGCATAGGTATAGACATGAGTAGAGCTGTTGGTTTTTGGAGGGAACACTTGGATCTTTTTTAGATAGGCGTTTCAGAAATAGCATGTTTGTTGTCCCATAACCTCCATGATTTGATACAGCCTGTGAGTGAGTCATTGCTTTTTTTCTTGCCTATGTGGAAGAGCATGGAAATTTAAACTTGTGAGAATAAGAGGGAGAGAATATGATATAAACTAAATGGTGCATCAGCTAGAACTTTCTCTCATGCATTTGATAGAGGAGGAAATATTTTGAACATAAAGAGTCTCTGTAGTAAGGTAGGAATGCAGGCTCACCACGTCCTTATTCAGGATAGTCAGTGAATTGTACTAGATGGGTTTTGAGGAATGTAGACTGTAATCCTTTTCCTTCTGGATGACATCCCATGGAGTCTGGGTCAGGCAAACACAGTGTAACCTTTCAGTGAATTTGTAAAACTGCATCATGATCTTTCTTTGCTATTTAACATCTAGAAATCTTTTGGGAATAAATGATTAGACCAGGGATGAATCTATCAGACAGAACACGCTCCATCAAGAAAAAGGAAACTCTACGTTAATATTTATTTTCCGAAACCAATAAAGCTCTCAGTTGTTTTATTAATTTTAGAGGGTTAAAAGGTCTGAAATATTTCCATAGCACTAGATGTTTTTAGTAAGAAATGTTCACATGAAAAATCTATATAGAAGTATCATAGGGCCATATTTTTATGAATGGGATTTCTTCCTTATTTTCAATATATATGTATATTGAATAGAGAGAGAGAAGTTAAGAGGAGAGGAAAAAACAGTAACTCTAAGTTAATGTTTCATTTCTAAAGGACATTTATGGAAAGCCTAAATGTAATACTCACAGGCTATTGTGATTTCCCATCAGCCTGTTTGTAGAAGAATTCTATAATGTGGTCAGATGTAGTTTTTATTCAAATGATCAAAATAACGGTTTAATCAGATAACTTATTTCAGAAAGTGAGTTTAGCTGAGAAAAGGGACAGTGGTAGAAAAAGTGCAAATACCAATTTTTGGAATGCCAACTCCTGAGGTTTTATGGAACCAGGTGGATTTGCTAGCCCAGGGATAGCAGCATAGAAGTTCCATCAACCCCTGACTCCCATCAAGACCTGAACCTATGTTCTGGGGTACTATGGAGACTGTTACCATGACCTCTTAGACTGTGGTTATGAATCTGAAGTTAACAAAACATACATCTTCTCTTGCTAACTTAAGCCATATCTGTCATTTTTATGTTTGATTTTTTCTTTTTTTTCTTTTTTTTTTTTTTTTGGACCCTGGTGCTTTTTCTTCTGTTTCTGCCAAAAATTCAGCCTACTCTAGGGAAGGTGAGTAAAACTAGTGGTAGGACAGATATGAAGACTGTGAAAAAGCTACACATACTCTTGACAGTGAGTTCTTATTCAGAGAGCAGTAGTGATCCAAGTGCAAGTGTTGGAAAATATTGTTATGTGTACATCTGTACATGTACATAGTGTATAATATGTATGTATATGTTATTGCTCATATGCAGAAATCTATCCATTTGCAGACAGCCCAGGTAGGACAATTTTATTGGAAAACCATTCAGGGCCATTCAAAACCACTAGGGCTAATTTGTGGAGACAAATTTTGCCCAATAGGAATTTGCTGTCCTTTGAAGTCCATAGAACCAACAAAGTATAAAACTGCAGGACCATTGTTTAGGCTATTCTGTTTACCTGGATTCAGAGGTCTCCTTATATTTGAATTATTCATAGTTGGTTTGCAAACTACATTGGCACCTCTTGGTTTTGAGTGACCTCTCCCCCCCAAGTCTTTTGAGAATTTGTGGTGGGCTTCTCTGACCATTCAGCTGAAGGGCCTTATCCATAGTGGACAGGTTTCCCCATAGGGACCATTACACATATACATATAAGTACATACTTCCATCAGGCTTATAACACTTGATTTGAAAACACTCCACAGTATTGATAAATAGCTCTATATTTTCAAGGTGCAGAAGAATTCCACAGCCTTAATTATTTCAGTGTCTTGCTGGTCTGCCTTAAGTGTATCTTCTGGATTTTTGGTTGTTTTATTATTTTAAAATTTTTCTGCAGTTATTCATTTTGTATGCACACAATGTCGTTTTGTAAAGGTAGGTTGTAAATATTTTATTTGTAAGTCAAAACCATTCATGTGTAATGTTGTAAAGTGATGATCTGCTGTCTTGTTATTATTACTACAGTAAATGTTATGAATGAAACTTCAAAATGTACATCTCATATGTTATGCATTCCTATAAATATACTATACTAAAGATATTATTTCTGGTTGTCTTTTTTCTAATTAAATCCTTTGCTTAAAGAAAAGAGTAATTTTTTTCTTCCCCCAAATATGTGAGAGCCTTTGACAAGCGAAAAAGATCACATTATTACAACACCTTTGCTCAGCTTTTTAAAAAGAAAACAATTTTGTTCTCTAAAGAAATAGTCTAAGGCATTTGCTATCTGAGGAAGCTTCAGATGTATTGTTGATATCCTTCTGGTATTCCACCTGTGAAGTTGGCAGACCTTTTGGGCTGGATCTCTCACATTTATGCATCCTGGTGTGGACTCTGGAGTAGCCTATGCAGACAAAAGCAGACGAAAGTCTGCGTATGCCACCAGGTACAAGTGAGGCAATCCATAGTTCACTACTGATTAGCCAGAGTATTAGAGAGTAAAGCTTGTTTTGTTTTGGAGACACAGTCTGGCTATGTATTTGAAGCTGGCCTTGAACTTGTTACGTAGTCCAGGCTTACCTTAAACTCCTGGCAGTCCTCCTGCCTCAGCCACACCGAGTGCTAGGATTACAGGAGTGCACCACCAACACCTGGCGAAAATGTTTTACTTTTACAAGCTTACTTTGCCAACAGAAACAAAACTATTTTAGCACTTGCCTTCTTTTTCATCAAGGTTTTGAAGTAGGGTAAAATAATTTTTAAAAAAAAATAGGCAGATGGGCTGGGAATATAGCTCAGTGGCACAAGCGCCTGCCTGGGAAGTGCAAGGTCCCAAGTTCCATTCCTGGTACCAAAAAAAAAAAAAAAAATTGGCATTTTTAGAAATTGTACTTAAAAACAAAACAAAATACATGCAGCTGCAGTACACAAAATTTACTTAAGCCTTTTTCCGTTCCAGGAAACTTACTTGAAAAAAATTCCTAAAGATGTTAAAGATAGAGTAAGCCTGTCCATGGGACTCTGGACCTGCCCTTTTCACCTGTAAATTGTGTTTCTTCCATCCTCAAGGAAGCAGCAGTATTAGTGGGCGGCAGATCTCAATGTCAAACTTATTAAGTGGTTTGCACCCTGACATAGCCCAGCAGATGGGTAGGTAAGCGGTAAGCAGACAGACAGTGGGGGCGAACATCCTCCACTGTCCATTTTGAGACAGTCCCGATGGCCCCATAAATTCAGAACACCTAGCTCCAGCTCATAAGGCATCCCATTTCTCTGAGTGCCTGCATTCTATTCTGCAGTGCCTACAAAAATCTCCACCTGGTAAACCCTTCTCTTTCCTCTGATGTTTTAAAAATTATTATTCCACTTCGAGAGTCAGTGAATCTCTAAACATTCTATGTTTGGGATGCGTTAAATCCTCATCTCAGTTTTGGGAACCTCTCAGACCCACTCGGGTGACATTTTTATTGCTTTTTTTCTCTTTTTCTTTTTAAAGCCAGGCTTTTGCTATGTAGTTCAGGCTGCTTTGAACTCACTATATAGTCTAGGCTGGCCTCGAACTCTTGGTGATCCTCCTGCCTCAGCCTCCATCAGTGCCAAGATCACAGACATCACCACCACACTGGGCTACTACATTTATTTGTAATGAGAAGTAAGAGAAGCCTGGGCCTGAGCTGGGGAGTTCAGTGGTAGTGGGCTTGCCTAGCCTGTGTGATTCACAGTCCTGGGTTCAGTCCCCAGTACATCAAAAACAAAAAACAAAAGCACAGGCTTTTCACACTGGCTGTTCAGCAAAATCTCCTAAGAGAAAACATACATAAGTACACAGAAATAAAATCGGAATCAGTTTGATGAATTAGGATGGTGGGCCCTATGGTTTTAAGGGGTTGTTTTCCTTAAACTAGGAGAAGTTATTGTCTTCTGCACCTAATGGAGAACTTCTGTACAGGATTATTGGTAAACCAGATGGGCCTTCGTTTTTAGGATCGCTAGCAGCACTGCCCTAGCAGATAACCCGAACACCGATCAACACTTCCCTCTCTCCCTCCTGTACCTCCCCTCCCTCCAGCACGCAGCGCCACAGCAGAGGTAACGATCACTACCTGCTCTGGGCTTTAAGCTCCTGCATGCAAATTACTATCAAGTCTCTCACATGCAGCTGCTGTGAACTTAATACACGGCGCAGGGCCCGTCTTCAAGAACTTCTCAAATTGGAGAAGCATCGGGGAGGGGAATAGTGCCTAGTAACTGGCATGTAAGACCAAGGAGTAGAGATGAACAGAATTATCGAGGGGACACTGAGGAAGAAAAAATGGGCAGAGTCTACACAGTCTCCTGACAGTGGCCGGACTCCTTGAACCCAGAGCCAGTCTAGGCGTCCCGGGATTTAAGTCCGGAGGCCAGAGCTCGGAAGCCGGCGCAGGCGCAGGGCTGCCGGACTCCGCTCGGTCTGGGCCGGAAAGGGTGGCGGAAGAGGCGGGGCTTCCCGGTGACGTCACGCGGCCGCCTGAGGGCGCGGTGGTACCGGACTGGGAGCGCTCGAGCATGGCGGCCGCGGGCACTGCTCTAGGACATCTGGTGACTGCCCTGTACGACGTGCAGGCTTTCAAGTTTGGGGACTTCGTGCTGAAGAGTGGGCTCTCCTCCCCCGTATACATCGATCTGCGGGGCATCATATCTCGACCGCGTCTTCTGAGTCAGGTCCCATCTCGGAGGGGAAGGACGGCCATGGGTGGCGGGAGGGGGGCCCACGGGTGGAGGTGGGTAGCAGGAGTTGGGCTGTGGGCGAAGGCAGAAGGCGCAAGCAGCCAAACGCACCCTGTTGTCGGTCTGCTGCACAGAGGCCAGAGGTTGGGTTTTTGGGGGGACGTTGACCAAGTGACTTTGACACGTGCTTTGCAAGCGTTGGGAAACTAGTTTAGATAGAGAAGTCCTGTGTAATTTGAATTTTTGTTTGTTTTTTGAGACAGGGTCTCACAATAGTTCAAGCTGGTTTTGAACTCATTGCAGCCCATCCTGGGCTCGAACTCGCAACAATCCTCCTGCCTCAGCCTCCAGAATACTGGGATTACAGGAGTGCGCCACCACACCTGGGAAGAGATTGGACATTTCTAACAAGCTGCAAAGCAAAACTGCACACCACACTTTGAGTAGGTTTAAATGTGCTGTAGAGAAGAGCAGCTACTAGCCATATGTGAATATTAAACATTATGATTTTTTGGGTTCTAGGGGCTGAACCCAGGGCCTTTACATTGGGCTATGCCCCTACACACACACACACACACACACACACACACACACGTCGTTGTTTTGGCAGGATCTTCCTAAATTGCCCACGTTGGGCTGAATTTGTGATCCTTCTACCTCAGAATGCTGGGATTACAGGCAGCATTATGAATTTTTAACTTCAAAGTCATTAGTGGCTACCATATTGGACACTATAAATGTGAAACATTTTCATCATTCTAGAATGAGCAGGTAATTTGGAAAACATTATCGCAGATAGACCAGAAAGTTTTATGGAAGAGGTCAATTTTGGCTGGGCATGGTTGGCGCATGGCTATAATCTCAACTACAACAGGAGGCTGAGGCAATAGAATTTCACGTTTGAGGGTAGTTTGACCAATTTAGCAAGACCCTGTTTCAATATTAAAAAGGACTGCAGATGTAGCACAGCATTCCTAGGATCCAACCCCCAGTACTGTCAAAAAAGAAAATATGTAAGTTTCCCTCCACATACATGAGGGTTTCTGTTTGTTGGTCGCCCACCATGCACAGTTATTGTAAAAAAGAATTGAAGCACAAGTGGAGGTTGGCCTGGAAACTTCTCACCACTCAGAATCTTGCTATGGTGTGCTTCCCCTATGTAGAGAGAGTGAATTACTAAGGATTTACTAGTGGAAAATCAGTTTAAGAAGTCATCAGTTGATAATAAGTAGTTTATGTGTTCCTTTTCTTACAGGTTGCAGATATTTTATTCCAAACTGCCCAAAATGCAGGGATCAGTTTCGACACTGTGTGTGGAGTACCTTACACAGCCTTGCCATTGGCTACAGTTATCTGCTCAACACATCAAATCCCGATGCTTATTAGAAGGAAAGAAACAAAGAACTATGGTAAAAGTAGCAGAAGCGTTCTGTTAATATGTAATCTGAATATTTTCTTTGGGCACTGATGGTTTACTAGAGTCGTGTTAATCATCATAGGTCCTTTAAATTGTTATCACCTATGGAATTCGTTAAGTGTTGGTATAAATCACTTTTCTTTAGAGTCTAAGGCTAAAATGCTTTGTCTGGATTAGGCAAGGGAGTGAAGAAGTGCTTTTTTGTGCACCCTGTCTGTGAAACCCCAGCATTTTTATTGGCCCATCAGGAGCATTTAGGTGGAGAGCCCATCCTTTCCCAGAATTCTCATGTAAACTTCACCCAGAGCAGTGTGTGAATCCCAGTACTCCCATAAAAGTACCTACAACCTCATGAAAATACCTTTTTATGGGTCCATGGCAGTAGCTTATTGGATAGGTTTGCTTTAAAAACCTGAAAATCAACCTGAAAATATTGGAATGAACTTCATATTTATTAGTGATATTAAAGAATTAATGTTTTTTAATGTTAGTATGGTAACTTTGAACGAGACTTGTGGATGTAGTCTAAAATTGTTTATGGTGAATCATAGGCTGTCTGGCATTTGCTAATAAAACTTGAGAGGGAAGGAGTGAATGAGGATATAGATGAAACAAGACTGATGCTGAGTTAAGCAACGAGGTTCTGTACTCGTGGGTGTTCAGCACACTGGATACTTTTGTTTGACCTTACCCTTGTAAAGAAAAGAAGAAAAATATTCAGTTGAATTTTTGCTGCTTAAAGGCACACTGTTAAATTTCCTGAGCTAAAAAAGAGAAATTCTATGAATCTCTGCCCATGAAGAATTACTTCTTTTCTTTTGTTAAAGCAGGGTCACACTGCGTAGTTCAGCTGGCCTTGGACTCACTGTAGCCCAGGCTGGCCTTAAACGCTTAGTGATCCTCTTGCCTCAGTCTCCCAAGTGCTGGGACTCTATGTGCACCACCACGCCTGGCTAGGGAAAGTATTTCCATTTCCTTATGTGTTAAGTGTTTAGAATGAAATCATTTCTCTATTAGCATAGCTGTAAGTACTCTCAGTATTGCATTTTGTTAGTCTGGCATTTTAATCTAAGTTGATTCAGTTAAATTCTTCAAGGGGAGGAAAGGAGTTAAAAGAAATGGGAAAGCTCAGAGAGGATACCTGTAGTAAAGCTCAAAAGTTGGGCAAAATGCCATCCATTTTTTTTGTTTTCAGATAAGAGAAACTGCAATGGAAAATACAAAGACAAGTTTCTAAAGTCTGTAGCCTGGGTTGTTTATGTTTTATAGATTATCTGACAATATTCTGTAGTAGAGTTTAAGGGCAGAGAACTAATTTAGTCACATTGCATTATATAATTATAATTATATAATTCCTGAGACTGTGGTAACAGTTTGGATTGTAGAATATTTTCCTTATATCTGGATATATGTGTCATTTTATTTTTCAAAATTTTCCTCCAGGTTTTTTTTCTTTTTTTGGCACATGTTTGCAGTACACAACGATTGCATTCATTGTGGGGAATTACGCTTAGTTGCCTTTGCGGCGTCATTTCACAGCTATTATCCATTGTTCGTGTTCTCTTCTTGCTTTTTTTTTTTTGGTTTTTCTCTGGTACCAGGAACCGAACTCACGACCTTGCGCTTGTCAGGCAGGCGCTTTTGCCGCTGAGCTAAATCCCCAGCCCCTCTTCTTGCTTTTAAGGTATCTTTTAGTAGCTGGAGGAGGTGTGTGGTTTGTTTTTTGTTCGTTTTTTGTTTGTTTTTAATACGGGATCTTGCTGTGTACTTCGGCTGGCCTTAAATGCATTATGTAGCTCAGGGTGAAGAAGGATATTTATAGAACTAGGTAAAGTTAAAGAAACAACTGATGAGCAATAGAAGGTAAAGGAAAAAGAGGGAGAATAAAGAAATTATATGGGGAATAAAGATAAGAGAGAAAAAAATTAACAGGAGAAAACTTTAAAGGTAAGAGGAAAGAAAAAAGAAAAACAAGATAAAGGTATAAGAGGCAAAGAAGGATAAAAGAAAACTCTTTGAGCCCCAGTACACTGGTGCTGAAGCAAGGGAGAAAGGAAGGAAAAAACAGCGCAAACACTTGCAAAACAAAAAACACACACAAAAAAATTTTTCTGTGGGTTTTTGGAGGGGGGAGGTACAATTTGGGGGCAGTATCCAAGTCAAGATGTGTTCCTGCTCACACTGGTGGATAAAGAAGGCAGTCAGAGCCAGATCCAGCCAGGAGTATGATAGGGCGAGGGTGCCAATGACTTTCAAATAGAGAGCAACTCAGGCTGAGCCTGGCCTCTGGCCATGGGACCAGAGCCTGTGTCCTTTAGCTCAAACCCCGCAGAGGGTCTTTTCCAGCCAGACCCTCACTTTCCCGCTGTGGCTGGCTCTCACCCGGTTGCTATAGGAACGAAGCACTGTGAGCCCTAAAGTGAAGCTGTCCCGCAGCTGCTCCATCAACCCTTCCCCAGAAGAGCACCCAGCCAAGCACTCTCTCCAGGGGGTGAGGCAGGCACTTGGCCTGAAGTCACCAACTGTTGCCTGTTGAAAGATTCCTGTGGGGGCAGAGTCCTGAGCTCTCCCTGTGTACCTCACAGCATCCGCTTGTCTATTCCGCCACTTCCTTTCTCCCCGAAGCCCCCTGGAGTCCAGAGCTCTTACATTTTAGCTGTAGATTGGGTCTCTCTTTCCCAAGAGCCACAGGGGAGAAAGTGCAGAGTGTCCCTTCCTTCCCTACCATTGTGTCTGTCTCCTCAATTTCTCTATAAGTTTTATTTGTTTTTTGTGGGGTTTTTTTGTTTGTTTTTCTCCAGTACCAGGGATCGAACTCACGACCTTGCACTTGCCAGGCAGGCACAGTGCCACTGAGCTAAATCCCCAGCCCCTCTCTATAGGTTTTAATTTTCCTGTCAGATCCTGGTTCCTGGGGATCTACCCCCCACCCCACATGATGTTATTTTCCAGTGTCTGGATTCTGAGCCTCAGAGAGGCTGAGTTGTTGCTCACCCCTCCGTTATTTTCCCTGAAGTCCTTTAGTGTGTTCCCAAGACAGGGCTTCACTTTGTAGTTTTAGGCTGGCCTTGAACTGACTATGTAGCCCAGGCTGGCTACATAGTGAATTTCTGGTAATCCTGTCTCTACTTCCCGAGAGCTGGGCTTGCATTTACAGTGGTACCTCAGTATATGAACACCACTCTGCCTGGCTTGCATTTACAGTGGTACCTCGGTGTATGAACTTCATGTGGTTTACGATTTTGGAAAACATGGCCTTTACGTTTGTGTGGGGAAGATGGCTGTGGTCATGTTTGTCACCCAGTGTCGAGTTTGCAAATGGGAGCAGAATTTTGACAAACACTTTTATTTGCAAACCAAATTGTCTGCAAATAGGAGATGTTCTTGAAAGAGGTATTACTGTATATTTTTAGAAGTCAGGTGAATGTAAGGGGTAAACTTACAATGGTTTGTGGATGGAAAAAAGAATGATTTCATGAATGATCCTGGGCTATTCTATCTTTTGTAACTACTAAATCCAGGTGATTTTTGCTTTAAGTAATCCAGCATTTAGCAATTTAATCATAAGCACACTAAGTAGTACTTACTTACACAGCAAGACAATTACTGGTTTTACTATATTCGGTACATAACTGGCAATTTTGGGATATGGAGGCACTGAACAAAACAGGCGCAGCGCTTTGAAGAGTCATCCGAAACAATAAAAGGAAATCAAAAAATAAGATTCACCTGTAGATCATCTTTTCTTACGTACATACCAATTTTTTTGTTGTTGTTGTTGTTTTGTTTTTTGTTTTTTTCCAGTACCAGCAATTGAACTCACAACCTCGCGCTTGCCCGGCAGGTGCTGTGCCACTGAGCTAAATCCCCAGCCCCTATACCAAATTTATACTGTAAGATAAATGTTGAGTTCAATGCATATAAAATTGAAGGGTTTTGTTGGTTTTTTGAAACAGGGTCTCACTATGTAGCGCAGACTGGCCTTGAAGTCCCACCAGTATTCCTCCCTCAGCCTACCAAGTGCTGGGATTACAGGCGTGCACCACCATGTGAGTTAAAATTGGACTGAACAACCTTTTTTCTTTTGTAGGTACTAAGCGTCTTGTCGAGGGAGCTGTTAATCCAGGAGAAACCTGTCTCATCATTGAAGATGTGGTCACCAGCGGAGCTAGTGTTTTGGAGACTGTTGAGGCTCTGCAGAAGGAAGGTCTGAAGGTCACCGATGCTGTGGTGCTGCTAGACCGCGAGCAGGGCGGCAGAGACAAGCTGCAGGCCCACGGGGTCCGCCTCCACGCAGTGTGCACATTGTCCCAAATGCTGGAGATTCTCGAGCAGCAGCAAAGAATCGATGCTGAGGTAGTCAGGAGAGTAAAGCGATTCATTCAGGAGAATGTGTTTCCGGCTGCTCATCAGAATGGCTCTCTCCTTTCAGTGAAGAAAGCCCCTGAAGAACTCAGCTTTGCTGCACGTGCAGAGCTGCCCGGGATCCACCCTGTTGCCTCAAAGCTTCTCAAGCTTATGCAGAAGAAGGAAACCAACCTGTGTCTGTCTGCTGATGTTTCAGAGGCCAGAGAGCTGTTGCAGCTAGCAGATGCCTTAGGGCCCAGCATCTGCATGCTCAAGACGCACGTAGATATTTTGGGTGACTTCACTCTGGATGTGATGAAGGAGCTGACAGCTCTGGCAAGACAGCATGAGTTCTTAATATTTGAAGACCGGAAATTTGCAGATATAGGAAACACAGTAAAGAAGCAATATGAAGGTAGGTAAAGCAGGAATGTGCAGGAATCAGAAATCCAGCTTACACTGGCTGAAGGAAGAAAGGAATGGGATGGTTTCCCATAACTAGAAGTCCAGCCGTAGAGCAGCAGGCATTGAGTGCCATTGGATCCAGGAGCTCGAATGATGTCTTCTGAAATTGCTTTCTCTACATCTCTCAGCTCTACTTTCGTCTCTGTTCACTTCTTTCTCAGGTAGGCAATTCCCTAACCAGTTACTGGCTTAGCTGTAGAAAACCTTCACTCGCTGGCCTGGGCAGAGGCCCGCTCTTGCCACTGCAGGTGGCTAAGTTCATTGTATTTAAGTGTTCTGAACTGAGAAGCCTGCAGTGGTAATTCTACTTGAGAAAATGAGTTGTCACCTTCTGATACCAGAGGTTTTGGGTAGAAATGGCAGATGTTGTTCCTGGCAGAAAATTACAGATACAAGAAACAATGAAAAAACAATATGAAATTTATTTGCAGCTGAAGAAGATCTATTGATGCATTTCCTTTTTAAAAAGTTGTTTTGTAATTGTTTTTAAAGTTGTTTTGGGGACTCAAAAATAGTAATGTGTAGGTTGGGGAAAATACTCAGTTCTGCTACCCACCCTTCTCTGACAATTTCTCTTTTCATGACAGTGTGCATATTTAATGCTTGTTTTCAGTTCACCTTATAACACGTACTTTCAGTCATGTTATTTAGTACTTATTGTAAGCATCTTTGAGGCAGCTGAAGTTTTCTCAGAGGAATGCATGCATATTCCCCAAGTGTTACTTTAGAATGTGGTTGTCTATAAGTGAGTATCTTCATGTGCTGGAACATGTCCCACCACTGTCACATTGCTCAGCTTAGTTCATTCACTGAAGTAAGAATGGCACGACCATTCTTCAGGTTTATGTGTAGTCTTTTCAAATCAGTTCAGGTTTTTACTGTTGGCTTTTGAAATAATGTATATAGGCTAGGCGTGGTGGCATATGCCTGTAATCCCAGCACTGGGGGGCTGAGGCAGGAGGATCACTGCAAGTTCGAGGCCACCCTGGGCTACATAAGCGAGTTCAACATCAGCCTGCACTACGTAGACCCTGCCTCAAAAACAAAACAAAACAATAAAGAAATAAATTATGTATATAGTTGCCTGTTGGAATTAGAATAGCTAAGGCAGGTGTAGAAACATCGAGAGTGTAAAGTTGCTGAGAGAGCCCTGAAGAGTCAAAGTTGGTCATCTTCAAGAGGAGTGTCAGGATGTCACTGTCCTTGACCTCCGTAAATGCCCATCTTCACAGGAGTCCGTTTTCAAATGGCATGACCTTTCTTGATGGTTTCAAGGTTCTAACTGCAGAATAAGTCAGTCCCCTCAGTGCTGCTGATACATCAGGTGCAAAATCTGAAGCATTTTTTCCTGTGATTTCTCACTGATCTGCTACCTGGACAGATCAGTTCTACAGATGAACTGCAGGTCCACTGATGCCACAAAAGCTTTTGAAGTGTTGGACTCCTTCATCACTATGTTACCGGGGGTTGCTGGTGTAGTTGGGTGGTTGGGCAAAAAGATAGATAGAGGGTTTCGTTTGAGAATGAGCAACTAATTTTCCTTCTTTCTCAGGTGGTGTCTTTAAAATAGCATCCTGGGCAGATGTAGTAAATGCCCACATTGTGCCAGGCTCAGGCGTTGTGAAGGGCCTGCAGGAAGTGGGGCTGTCTCTGCACCGGGGCTGTCTGCTCATTGCGGAAATGAGCTCCGCGGGCTCCCTGGCCACTGGGGACTACACTAGTGCTGCGGTAAGTTACAGGGCACTGGGGTGTAAGATGGCCACACCTGCCATACCAAATGCCAGAGGGCAAGGAAACAGCTCTGTCTGGAGTCTGTGGAGCCCCTGCCACCTCTGCTCCTCAGATTCGTGTGCTGCTTGGTGACTGGCATGTTAATGCCAGTTGAACAGACTTCCTTGATAGTTAATAGCATTCTGTGTCTTGTAGTGGACACTTAGGTGGTTTGAATGGACTCAAAAACAAGACAGGAAGATAGCGACTTTTAGCTGCTTTTAAGATGTCTTTTTCATCTCACTGTGAGGTGAAAGTGAAAATGAAAAGCTTCACAGACATCCACCTTCTATTTCCTGAGTCCCTCCTTCTGTGTGGTACTGATCACATGGCATAGGAGAAGCTGAGGAGTCTGGCTGCATTGTTTCTTCGAGTATCAGAGGTTCCTTTTTTAAAATATATGTTTGCAATACGTGCATGTTAATTATAGTCATCTTGGGGAGTTGGTACATGTACATAGGAGCTTCTCCTTTTCTTTTAATCTCTTTCCTTTCCTGCTCCCTCCCCAACCCTCCTCCTCCCCTTGCCATTCTTGTTGATATTATCAGTTCCTGTTTCTGGCTTATAATGTCCCCATTCAATGCTCTTACTAGGATCCTGAGCATGGCACATCCTTGCTCTGTTTTCTTATCCCCTCGCCCTTGGTCCCCTGGACCTGTTCTCATCTGCAAGAGATCCATCCCTTGTCTCTGTCTGTCCTTTTATTTTTCACTTGGTTTGGGTTTTTTTTGTTTTTTTAAAATGAAAGAGAAAAATATTTATTTTTACAAAGGAGGGGTCTGGCACAAAACAACTAAATTAATGAGTTAAAAATCAGGTGCAAGAGTATTGTTACCTAGTGTTGATATATACAAAGGAAACATAACCACTCCTGTGGTATTAGCTGCAATAAAATAAATAGTACAGCAGCACCTGAACCTAATCATTAAACCAAATTATGTGAAGTTCAAGACATAATGTCTTTCATGTTCTATAAATCTCAGTACTCTCAAATAATATTTCCATAGCTTATAGGAAATATTTTATAATTCTGATTTCTTTTAATACAACTTTCTGGTGCATTCATTGCAATCAACTTCATTTTCACTTGGTTTGTATTTTGCCTCACTCAAATGGTAGATACTGTATAGTATTTATTCAAGGGTGTGTGTCTGATTTCACTCAACATATTTTCCTGGTGTATCCATTTCCCTACAGATGCCTCAGATTTATCTTTCTTTGTAGTCCAGTAGTATTCCATTATAGTATATAGATACTGCATTTTCTTTATCGGGTTGTCTGTTGATGAGTAATCAAGTTGTTTTCCTGGATTTAGCTATTACAAGTTGTGCAGCTGTAAATACTGTTATTTATGTATTACTAGAGTATGATGTCTTAAGCTTTTTGGGGAAGAGAGCTAGAAGGGAGATAGCAGGGTCATATGGAATTTTTAATTTTGGTTCTTTGAGAAATCTCCATACGGATTTCCAGTGTAGCAATTTCCAATGTAGTATAGAAATGGGGAGACCAGCCACAACATTTGTCATTTTTTTATTTCTTGATGATTGCCATTCTTTCTGGAGTAAGATGGAATCTTAGTATTAATTTGCATCTCTTTGATGGCTAGGGACACCACCCACCCTATCCCATCCTGACCCCTGCACACCAAAATAGAATAAGAGATGGACAGTTATCTAGTTAAAAGTCCCTCTTCATATTTTTATTTTTAATTTTGTACTTAGAACTGTGGATAAGCCACCTTTACACATATTTTAGGGAATCATGGTGATCAGTTTAAAACATTACCATGGAAATTTTAATTTTTCCATAGTATTTCAGAGACTGTACGTGGAGTTGTTAATGACTTCAGTGGTCCTAGGATCAGGTTCCTGCCCTACCTCTGAATAGGCCATAAGTAAAGAAGCAGAGGGCTTGGGCATCAGCGCGAGTCCCAGCATTCCAGCAGCTGTGCAGGTGTGGAACAGTGTCAGTCTCAGGGAATTGCTGCTGAGCCTGTGAGGTGATAGTGTAGAAATGGGGAGACCAGCAATGGCAGATGCCAAAGAAGAAGGAACAGGGTGGAAGTGAGAGATTCCTATTGACCTGAAAATGGAGCTGCTTATGCACCTCACATCCTTTGGAAATAGGTGGTCACTGACCATTGTTACAGGTAAGTATGCATCATCTTCATGTTAATGCATGTAGTGTGGGGATTTTTGATGTTTCCAAGTAAGGTTCTTTGGGGAAAGGGTGATTTTAGGCTCTCCATGAAGCAAATATGTTTCACCATCCTGATTCCTATCTAAGGTGACATGGTTCCGATAATATAAGTTTCAGAGTAACAGAGCGAATTGTTTACTTTCATAGAATTATTCTACATGATTAACTATCTTCTTGTAACATAGCCTGTTATATTCCATTTAGGTTAGAATGGCTGAGCAGCATTGTGAATTTGTGATTGGTTTTATTTGTGGCTCCCGAGTAAGCATGAAACCAGAATTTCTTCACTTGACTCCAGGAGTTCAACTGGAAGCAGGAGGTAGGTCTCTTCAGTGGTCATAATGTATAGGAGAAATATAACTCCTTATAAGGGACCCCTGCAGTGAGCCTCCAGTCTACTGCCAGGAGTTTGAGTGCATGGCAAGAGAGAAAGAGCAAGAGATAGCAAGCAGCGGGGATCTGGGATAGCCAGTTGTTCACGGGGAGCAAAAGGCAATGAGGCAGCCAGAACCTTGGCATTTATTGATTGAGGAGGGGATTATGGGACTCAGAGGGTGGCAGTGGTCTTGTGCTGAGAAGGATCTTGCCCTATACTGCCTTTAGTCTCAGTAGTCTTACTCTTAGTAGGTGGAAGAGGATGGCCCTAATGTGATGATGGGAAGTCTCAGAAGGGTGATACCAAAAGTCCCAAACCTCCATTCATCCCTTAGGGAAGTAAGAAAAACTAGGTATTGTGAATTTGTGGTCCTCAACAATTCCCAACCCACTAGATGAGAGATACACTGAGCTCATGTGCCTGGAAATTAAGGAATGAATTCTAAAGAACAAAGGAGGTTAAGAGTAGGACAGGTTTATTGAGAAATATCTCCTAAGATACAGGAGGAGATCCGAAAGCAGGTTGCCACCTAGGCCCTTTGTCAGGTGACTTATACAGCAAAGTCACAACGTGGATCCAGCTAGTCAGCCTATAGGATTACAGGTACAGCTGCTTAGGCAATATGGATCCAACTACAACGTGGATCCAACTAGTCAGCCTATAGGATTACAGGTACAGCTGCTTAGGCAATATGGATCCAACTACAACGTGGATCCAACTAGTCAGCCTATAGGATTACAGGTACAGCTGCTTAGGCAATATTGGTCCAGTAAAGAAGCAGATCACATAGCAAAGAGAACCAAAAAAGAAAAACATATTATTCAGCTCAAAATATTTTAGTCGATGGAGTAGTTTTTGTTTTGTTTTGGTCTTTTTGAGACAGAGTTTCACTATGCAGTTCTGGCTGGCCTTGAACTCACTCTGCAGCCCAGGCTGGCCTCAAACACACAGTGATCCTCCTGTGTCAGTTTCTCAAGCGCTGGGATTATAGGCTTGTGCTACAACACCCGGCAGCTTTAGCCAGTTATTAACAGGCACTGAACTGAGAATCAAACATGCACAAGATGATGACATTTCAGTTAGAGTGCACTCTGAAAGGTATTTGGCCGGGTTGAAGTACAACAACCCTTCTACAGGTTTATATTTGTACCTATAAATAGACTAGTTAGAACTTTTTTTTTTGGTGTTTTTCCAGTACAGGAATCGAACTCACGACCTCACACTTGCCAGACGGGTGCTGCTCCACTGAACTAAATTCCCAGCCCCTAGTCAGAACTTGTTTATAGGCCAATTGACGGGTTTCTTGTAATAAGAATCAGAAGGAAATAAAACGTGTAAAAGCAAAGGCAGTTTTTAACACTAACTGTTTATCTAATTGAAGTAGCCAGCTCCAGGGGCTTCTCATTTTTACTTCGGAAGCCAGAACTGCAGTTTTGATAGCTACATGTAACTGTTGCCCCTAAAGGGACAGACTGTTAAAGGTCCATGAGTGCTCAGGCGAGGTTTGGGTGTAGGAGACTAGGTAACACTCTCTGAAACTAAGTGTGTATTTTAAAAATAAAAGAAACAAAGGGAAAGAAGGCGTCCCTGTCTATCCCTCTTGCTCTGTGCCCGATCTAAGGCATCCCCTAGAGTTGAAGCCACCTAGCACCAGTGGTAGCACACTGGAGGTGCGAGGAAGTGGCTAGACTCGTGTTGGTCACTCTTGCTGTGTGCCTGGGCCTCCTTCCTCGTGGCCCTGTGACCATACTTAGCTGTGGGCTTTCCTTTCTCAAAACCTCAGCATGTCTCAGGATGGTGGCTGGCCTGGCAAGATGTCCTGGGGAAAAATCACGACAAGCGGCAGTCTCGGGATGGTGGCTGTGGCTGTCCTTTAATACATGTTTCTGTTTAAAGCTGTTATTACTTCCTGAATGTTTTTATTCTATCAGTGGACTCCTCTGTGCTGTAAAAACTAGTCAGCACCCTGCAGGGCAACATTCTTGAAAGGAGGAAGAAGTAAAAGTAGCTAATTTCCAGTTCTGCCTAAGAGCTGAAAGCCAGATGTGTTTGTGTGAAAATGTTTACGTTTATCCTCTGAGAGTTTGAGCATAGACCAGTTTTTTTGGAATATGACCCAGAGATTAGTGAAGATCAGCATCAATCTGGAAGAGTTCAGGGGAGGGAACTTACCATTCCAGAAACCTGGTCCTGGGGCCCAGCAGTCACAGAGAAGAGAATTCCTTGACAAAACACTGTTGTGGTAAATTGCATTATTTCTCTGGGGCAGAGCAGTGCAGAGGGCTCAAGAACTAAATCCTAATCATCTCAAGGCAGAAAGAGAAGACCAAGAGCTTTTCCAGGGTGGGCCCCTGGGCCTTAGCAAGTTCGGAGCCTGCAAAACTAAAAATGTCCCATCCTGGAAACTTAAATATGAAGACATCACAGTCTTCCCTGCTCTCAACTTACAGCATGGCACAAGCAGCCAACAAAAGGCATAAGCAACCAGCAAACAGCTGATGATAGTTTTTGATTACCTAAATGAATAACAATCCAGAATCCAATCAAAATATTTAGGGGTGCCATGAAGCAAGAGCAAACTCTTACCTCCTTCTAATTATCTTAGAGCAACCTCCAGACAATATAGGGGAAATAGAACTCCCAGTCTGCTAGATGTGCGATATGCTGAGTTTGTGTCCCCAGAAATCAAAGAATAAATTCTAAGGCACATAGGAGGTTAAGAGTAGGAAAGGTTTATTGAGAGATATTTGCTGAGAGACAGGAGGGGACCCGAAAGCCAGTTGCCACCGAGGCCTTTCGGCAAAGTCACAACGTGGATCCACCTAGTCAGCCTATAGGATTTATAGCTGCTTAGGTAATATTGGTCCAGTAAGGAAGCAGATCACATAGCAAAGTTATGTAGAAAGAACAAAGAGATTTGTGGGAAAGGATGAGTCCGGATGCTCTGGTTACCTACCTGGAGGACTGATGCCTACCTGGACTTCATGGACCAGGTGGTGCTAATTACAGTATAGTTCCAAGTTCTTTTGGAGGCACATTGAAAGCACATTATCCCTTAGGAAGACAGGTCTGGCTGTTGCATCTTTGTCTTGAGGCCTGGTCTTCGTATGCGCTTCCAGCCACAATTCCAATGGCTTTGTTCTTTCTGCTGACTTCCTTGAGTGCCCAGGCCCTCTCTGACTATATATTAATTTCTGCCTTAGCTGTCTATCCTAATGGCTTTTTGGGAAGTGCTTTTTAACCATCAGGCAAAATACAACTTTGCCTAGTAGTATAAAATTGCTAAAGAGAATCATTCTCAGCCTAAAACAATGATAAATGAGCTCTTTGGCCTGGTGATGACTGTCCTGTATTTGCAAAACAGTTTGCCGACGAATTTTAGGATAAGGATTTAGAAAGCTACTTGTAATACGTCCAGGAAACTGGCATTTTAGGTGAGTGCTTTCTAGCTGGTGCATTGAATGTGCTGCCAAAAGATGGTGTGCTGGGTTCACCTTTGGAAAACCCTGGAGTAAGAGGCAAACACCTGTTTCTTTCTACAGGCCTATGGGCCGTGCTAGTCTCCTGGATGGCCTTCTGCTCGCTAAAGGAGTAATCTCATTTATAAAAATAGGTATTTACAGGTGGGGTTAGCTCAGTGCTAAGAATATGTGCTTAGTGTGTGAGCCCTGGGTCCCATGGCCAGCACCAGCATACATCTGTATACATATTTAAATGTCCTCCAGGACCTACTAAAGCTGTGCTAGTTTTTGTTTGTTTGTTTTTTTCTGGTACCGGGAATCGAACTTACGACCTTATGCTTGCCAGGCACACGCTGTGCTGCTGAGCTAAATCCCCGGCCCCCTGTTCTTTTTTGTTGTTGTTGTTTGTGCTAGTTTTTGGGGCGGTTTTTTTGTTCATTTGTTTCTTTTTAAGACAGGGCCTCACTCTGTAGTTCAGGCTGGCCTGGACTTGCTGTGTAGCCCAGACTGGCCTCGAACTTGTACTGGTAGGTACTGGTAGGTATTAGGATATGGAGATATCTAGGTGTGTGAAGCATCTGTGCTAACAGTCTTGGCACTCGCTCTGTACTTGGCAGCTGGCAGTGTCACTTACAGGCCCACAGTTGGAGTCGCTGGTACAGTTAAGACCTCGGCTTTGAGGGACGTGTAAAGCATCATAAGCCATTTAACAGAAAGCTTCTAGAATGGCAGCATTTAACAAAGAACCATCCACCTTTTAAGGCTTAGGGTTTGTCCAAGGTCTTCGAGCACTTTTGGGGGAGCGGGGCACAGAAGGGGTCACTTGGATGGAGGTGGTCGGGTTAGATGCCTTCGGGGGCCTTTCCCAACTGGGCCTCACAGTGATGGAGAAGAATATTAGCATTTCGCTCAAATTTGAGGCCACAGATTGCTGTATTTTTTTGTTGTTGAACCTTGCTTGGCCATAGAGGGCATTTACCTGCTTTTTACCACTGTGGACCTCTAAATGCTCTGGACTTCCTGGCACTGGGAAGGAGTCATCTGGCATCTTCTTTACTGTGGAGGACTCTGGCTGACCCGGGGAGTCTCCTCACCTGCATTGCCCTCTTGCTCTGCAGAAGGAAAGCAGAAAGCAGGAGCATATTTTTACTGCAAGCTTTAGACATTGTTATAAAGGAGTTTTGCATTTTAAGTAACTTGGTTTTTGGCAGGGGATCATCTTGGCCAACAGTACAACAGTCCCCAAGAAGTGATTGGCAGGCGAGGTTCTGACATCATCATCGTGGGCCGAGGCATCCTTTCCGCACCCAATCGACTGGAAGCCTCGGAGAAGTACAGAAAAGCCGCTTGGGAAGCGTATTTGAGTAGACTTGCTGTTTGAGTGCCTCAGCTGTGTTTATGTGAAGACACGGAAGATATGTGGGCTCCTGCAAATCATCGGCTTTCAAATGAGCTTTTTAAGCTTATTTTCAAGCTTTTTTCATTTAGACTTGTATTTGGTAGGCACAACTGTGAAACACCCCATCTCTAGCCGAGCCAGTTTACTTTACTCTGTATGTGTTGCTGGCAGCTAATCCCTGGATCTTTGCACTGAGCTCTATTCCCAGCCCTCTTTCCTATTTTGAGACAGAGTCTCACTAAGGTGCCTAGGCTGTGCTCAAACTTGTGATCCTCTAGCCTTGGACTCAGAGAGTGCTCAGATTATAGATGTGCACCACCACAACCAGCTTACTATTTTAATGGGGGTGAGACATTTTCAGAAATAAGAAACTAAAATATATATCCTTTGCTTTGTCTGATATGTTGCCTAAGTGATGTCTGTCAGCTGTTTACCTCCATAAAAGTGCTGGCTGTGGTGCCACAAGCCTGAAATCCCAGCACTCTGGGAGGCTGAGGCAGGAAGATCACAAGTTCAAGCCCAGCCTGGGCAGCTTGTTAACTGACTGAGACCCTATTTCAGACTTGGGGTGGGAGTGGCGGTGGGGTAGGGGCAGGTTGAGGTTATAACTCAGGGCAAAGGCCCTGGGTTCAACCCCCAGTAGCACAGAAAAAAAAATCCAAGTGTCCTAATGGTGCTGGTTCTTAGAACTGCTGATTCTCGCTCAGGGCACAGGCTGGAGGCTGACTGCTGTGTCTTCCAGTGGACACCTGGCCGTCATCTGAACGTGTGCAGAGGGCTCGCGCTCATTTCTGCCACTTCTCGGCTGCACCTGTGGATTTGGTGGAGTCCACTTCCTTATTCAGATCACAGGTGGATAAGCTGCTGCTTTATTTAAAAAAGTGCAGCTCCCAGGTCCCCTTTAGGGAGCAGCTCCCGGGGCCCGCACGATTACTTACCCCAACTGGAATCAGTAGTGACATCAGCCTTCGCTAGTGGTAAGAGGAAGAATTCCTTAGCCCAGTTAGGACGAATAGTAGCAGAGACAGCAAAAAGGATTTACAAGTCCAAGTTCTGAGAATTCCAACAGCATGGATTATAGAACAATGGAAGTAAGGTATGCTTGATCCAACAGTCATCTGTGAGCAGCTTGATGCGATAACACAGTTGCTGTGATTAAAATCTGTGTTGGTTTGTTGGGCCCAGTGCTGGTGGCTCTGCTAAATCATGGCCTCCCACAAATTTTAATAAATTTTCCCTTTCACTCAGCCTCTGAGTCATCCTCGTCCTGGGTTTCTGTTCTTCATGCATCATCCAGAGTTCTTTAAGTCCTTATTCCAGCCAAAGAGAGATCATTTCACATTCAGCAGAGGGTTGCACATAAAAATTCAACAGTTCAGGCGGTAGCATAAGAGGGAGGCTGCTGTTACCTCAGGAGAAGGCTAAGACCAGAAGTTTGCTTCTCAGCAAGGGGCCCTAGGAGCCAGACCAGCTCAACTGAATCATCACGGAGTGGCTGGGGGTGTGTATCCCAATCAAATAGCTCTTTTTTTCTTTGGCTTTTTGAGACAGGGATTCACTGCATAGCCCAAGCTGGGCTCCAACTTGTGACCATCCTCCTATCTCAGGCTCTCAAGTGCTCTCTCAATTTTTTTGTCACTGAATCTCTTAATATCCGATGCATATATCTATAATTTATAAAAGTACTACCAACTACAGACTCCTTCCTCTTCAGTAAACATGAAACCACATTTTCAGGGTAAATTTATCAGTATGACCGATTGCTAGGGGATCTCGTAGTGCTACTGCGTAGTCCCATCAAATGAGAGATGAGATGTAAGCCAGGAAAAATGAAAAGGTACAAAATTCTCACTGTGTTGGGGAGTCGTGCTCAGTGTCTTGGGAAGAGCTGTGTGCGTCTGAGACATCTGCTGCTGGGGAAACTTCTCTACTCAGCTTTGCCTCAGTCTGCAACAGCGGTTCAGTTCCTGGAGTGTGGGGGAGTCTCCCTAAGTTGTAAGACATTCAGATCGAGACCCTGAATTTTGGCTGCGGTGTAGACTGAGGACTTGAAGGCCCCCTCCATCAGGGTTTAAGAGCTGTCTTCGATTTCATTTTTAGAAGATCGTGAAAGGTGAGTCAGCAGGTGAAGGTTCACAAAGAACTTCTGTTACCTGGTGAAAATATGCCATGGCACGGTGCCTTAAGTAGGAGATACAGAAGGATCCTGAGGATGGTCCTCTGATAGCTATTTCATCCATTAAAACTAATGACAGTACCTTTATGCAAGGCAGCCCACTGGCCTTGCCAATTTCAAAATGCTTCGCCTCAGCCTTCCTGGAAGACAGCATTGCAGGGCAATGCGGTGCCAGTGTGTTTGTCACACTGCTTGCAGTTGGATAATTTACCCTGTCACTGGAGACCTAGATTGCCTTTTAAGGAGCATAAATTTCCCCGTAGCCTTTTCACTTCAGTTACTACACTTTCTTGCTTGGAAAATACAGCCAGAGAATATAGACTTGCAGGAGCATAGCTGTGTCCTGCTGAAGGTAGGGACTGAGGGGAAGCCACTTGGTAATGCTCAAGTAGTCCAGCAGGTGGCAGAAGTGCACCGCCTGAAGTTCTGTCTCCACCACCACTCACAGTAGCAGTTTTAGGACGCTTCCCACACCATCACTGTCCCACAATTCTTTTCAGTGTTCTTAGCTTCATGATGAATGATGGAGGGCAGAACTTGAGCAGTGGACACTTGAGACTGAGGAAAGACCAGGCATCTGTCCAGGTCCTCCATGAGGTCACAAGTAACATACATTTAATTCCTTTCAAATGCCAGTTTTGTGTCTCCAACTTAGGTCTATCAGTGTCCATTAAAAGCAACTGTGAACTGTTTAATATCAGCATTTCATAGAGAAGCACCATTTCACACTTTAAAAGCGTTGCCTCAGTACCAACCTTTCCAGGTCTGCTAGCAAACACACATGGCTTCGCACCTAAAACCCAACACGTCCCAAAGTGGAGTTACACATTCTGTCATGAGACCAGCACCACGTCTGGTATTAAATGCTGACAAAGCGCTGAGCCGGGGACCAAGTCCACCAGTCATCAGTACACGCCACCAGGTGACAGGAACGGGCAGTCCCTGTTGGGTCTTTCACAGCCCTTATCAGCCCTTTCTTGATGGCTCTGTCTCTGCGCGTGTGTTTTTCCTGCAAGCTCCATGGAGGAAGGGACCTCAGCTACCACTGTTGCAATCACCGCCCTGCTGGGTTTGGATAATCACGTGGAAACTGTTCAAAGGGAAATTCCTGGGTTAATTACCCAAGAAGAGTTTGGGCAAAGGTGACAAAACCAAAACAAACCAGGCAGCCTTCAGAACCAGAGCAGGCTGAGTATTCCCACAAGGCTCTGAGCAGCATTTATAGAAGGGAAATGTGGCAGAGAAAATAATTCGCTATATTGAGTCCAGGTGTCAGTTGTTTACATCTTAACCAGTGACTTGGTTAGGAGTCTCCTGCAACCAACGCCCAGGTACTGCATTGGTCAGTCTGGCTCAGGCCAAGTCCATGACTTTCCATCCCCCACTGGTGGCCAGGTGGGAGTCACAGGTCAGTACCCCTCCCACTCTGCCCCAGATGAGCTCAAGGCCTGCCTGAACTGCACAGTGAGACCCTGTCTCAAAAAGGGGAGAAAAAAAAAAAAAATACAGAGGCCCAGACCCACAGCTCTTTCTAGTTCTCTCAAAAATTCCTGAGTTTCTAGATGACCGAGGACACAGACTGTCCCATTTTTCTATTTCTGTCATCCATTCAGGATGCATCTTGGAGGGATCTTGCAGGGCATGGCCCAGAAGCCCCCTGTGCTGCGTCCCCATGGCACCCGGGTCCCCACACAGCTGCCTCCCTCATCCCACAAGGCTCACACTCTCTCTCCTTCCTGTCGGCAGCCCCAAGTCCACTCTTCCCACCTGACCACTCATCTCAGCACCCACAGGAGAGCTTGGGATTTCAACTCGGTTCTTAATTGTGGTCCCTCTGAGAGTATCTACTTAGCTTCTGCTCTAGAGTCCAATGGGAAGTTGAGGCCCCAGCCCTGCATCTCTAGAGAGATTCCCTAATCAGAAAGGGGTAAGTTCATCAAGGAACAAAAGGGCAGAGGCAAAGGAAGGGGCAATGCCTTGGGCCCCTCTGGAGGAGCCCAAAGTCAACAAAGCTTGAGTGCTGGGATTGCAGGTGCACCCCACCCACCTAAGGCATCTACATTTCTAATGGGAGCGCCTGGTGATCTGGATGCTTCTTAACTGGCCTCTTCTCTAAGCAAAAGCCTGGGGTCATGAAACCAGAGCACGGATCCATTGAGGTGAGAAGACTGGGCTCTGAGGGTGCTGTGGAGGCAGCAGACGGTTTCACCTTCTCAGTGACAAAACCTGAGCTCTGGGCTTTGGGACCCCGGTCCTAGTGTGGGACAGGAACTGTGCCCACACATGCTATGTGGCTGCAGGATTAGCGGTGGACAGTGCCACCCCGGCCTTGTCCTCTGCCGGCAGATTTTGTAGGGCAGGGACCCACAGGTGGTTGGCACCGGGGATCCTTGGACACCATCTGGCCACTCCCTCCCTTAGTGTCAACCTGATGCAGTCCTGGGGTCGTCACTCTCACAGGCTCCCACAGGCTGCTGTGGCTCAGCCAGAAATCTCCTGTAAGTGGCCGGGGTCCATGGAAAGTCTGCCTGAGGAAAGGCACCTGAGGGTGGATAGTGGTGGCAGCCTGTGGACATTCTTCACGTGCTCGCCTCCCCACTCTCCTTCACCTGCCTTTCCGGGCCAGGAGGCTGCTGGGACGGCATGCAGGCAAGACCTGGACTATCTGCTTGGCCAGCGGGTGGTCCAGAGAGAACAGCTGGCAAGCACAGTCCCCTCAGCCAGGCGAACCTGAGGGGCAGCAGCAGTGAGGCCTGCACCGCGCTGTGTGTCCGCAGGGTCCAGGATTCACAGCGGGGCTCCAGCGAAAGAGATTTCCCCACCTGCAACTTTGTCCCCGAGGACCAAACAACAAAGATGACACAATGTCAATGTTTTGTTTGGGAAACTGAAAACATTTTATTTGAAAATTTGATGAAAAAGTTTAAGAAGTAGGTAATAAAGTTTAAAACTGCCTTTGCGAGCTGGGAGATGAAGAAATATATCAACATTTAAAACAGATACAGGGAAATAGAAAAGGTAAAGGAGCAGAGAGCCTTGACTGTTAGGAGAAATGTGTGCAGATGCCAAGGGCACCGAGTT